AATATAGTCTATATGAATTCAATGTTATGTCTTTTGGTTTTTGCAATACTTTTGCAACTTTCCAGCAACTAATAAACAAAGTATTTGCTCCCTACCATAACAAATATATTAAAGTTTACCTTGATAACATTACCATTTTTTCCATTACCTTTGAACTCCACTGTTAGTATGTTTTTATTATCTTGGATGTTTTTAAGGAAGTCTCTTTAATGCTGAACTCTGAAAAATATTACTTCTTTTTATATAAGTAAAATTACTTGATCATATGATTAACTGTAAGAGAATTTAACCTGATGATGACAAAATTGTAAAAGTTAAAAAATTCTTAAGGCCCACTACTATCAAACAATTGAGAGGACTTCTTGGACTTGCTTCTTATTATAAGAAGTTCATCAAAAACTTCTCTTTTATTATCTATCCTTTGAATTTTTTTTTGAAAAAGAATATCCCCTTTGAATAGATAGATTATTATCAGCAAGCCTTTGAAACTTTGAAATGACTCTTAATCTTATCTTCTGTCTTGAGATCTCTGATTTCTTCAAGATCTTTTATCTTTATACTGATGTCTTTGGAACTGGTATTGGTATTGTTCTAATATAAAAGGACAAAAAAAAGAAGTATGCAATAGTCTATACTAGTCACAGTCTCAACAAAACTGAGTGAAACTATTCTGTTATTGAATTGAAATGTTTTGCAGTCATATGGGTTGTTGAACACTTTCATCAATACCTAGGAACTCAACACTTCTTCTTGATTATTGACCACTCTGCTCTTCAATAGTTGAAAATAATTAAACTTAAAGAATGACATGCAAGGTAGATACTCCACTTAAAATCCTATAACTTCACTATCAAATACAGAGTTGGAAGGAAACACAACAATGCTGATATCATGTCTAGGATATATAATGTAGATAAATCAATCTTTTACAACTCTAAGTTTACATCCATCCAAAACTAATTCAAAGTCAACAATCATAAGTAAAATTCAACAATAAATAATATTTATTTAGGTAGTCAATATTCTAAACAATGATACAATCTATCTTATTAAAATAGAATTTTAATATTATCATCATCTCAAAAACTATCTTCAATACAACAAATTACCTGACACTTTTGACAATAAATAATAAGAGCAACTTATCTCCAAAGTACAATACTACTAGTAAAAAACAATCAACTCTACAAAAAAGATTGTTGCAAGAAAACAAGAAATTAATTACTTTGTATAAATCAAAAATATGAAGTGGAACCAATCTTATACTTACTATACAACTATTCTACTGAAGCTCATCTTGATGTGAACAAGGTCTTAGAAAAACTATGTAATCAATATTATTGATCCCAAATATTTGAGGATATGAAGCATTATATCAATACCTATAACTAATATCAATAATGGAACAAATTTAGGACCCCTGGATCCTTACATCCAATCACAGTTAGTACCCGTTTTTCCAAAATAGGCATTGATATTGTGGGACCCCTTCCAATTGCAAATAAGAGAAACAAATATATTATTATTGCAACTGACTACTTTACCAAATGGTTTAAAGCTGAAGTAATCTTTTATACTACAAGACAACGAGTTACAGATTTTATTTATTAAGTTATTATTTGCAGATATGGATGTTCAAAATACATACTTTCTGATAATAGAATATATTTTAGGAATGAAATAATTGAAGCTTTAATGGGAAAATTTCAAATATGATATTTTTATTCTACTCTATATCAACTACAAACAAATATACTAGAGGAGTACTTCAATAGAACTCTATATGAATCTCTAGCAAAACTAATTAAGGAAAAGAAGGATTGGGGTAAATTTATTGCATCTATATTATTTGCCTATTACATATTAAAACAAGTATTCACCAAATTTATCCTTTTCTATCTGATTATAGTCACAACCCTCAATTGTCCCACATGGAAATAGATGAAGTAATGGAATGAAATATCTTGATTCAACTTTACCAACTAATTGAAACCCTACCCATTACTCAAGGAACTACTCAAAAAAATATTTTAAAAGCCCAAAGGAAACAAAAGGAGAGATTTGACCTAAAGTTGAAAAAGTCAAAGAACTTCAAAATTGGTGATAAAGTATTAGTCTATAATGTCATCAGGAATAAACACTTTACTAAAAAACTCAGACCAAAATGGAAAAAATTTTACTTTGTCCATGATAACTTGGAAAATAAAATCTTTAAACTTAGAACTATGGATAAAAAAGTTTTAGCTGTTCCTCTCAACTTGGTTTTGCTGAAACAATATCTTGAATAAGAAAAATAGGAATCTACACTATATATTAAAAACTAAAAGGAGAAATATGCAGTGTAATAGTAATAGCCCCTAAGCTCTCATCACTATTATAGCCAGCTCCAGGGCTTTCAACAATGACTATATAATCCCAAAGTGAAGTACTTATAAGTGAACAAGTGAAAATATGAAAAAAAAAAACAAAATTTCAAAGCTTAAATAAGAAAAAGATTTTATTTAAAGAAACAGGAATAGAAACATCCAACTAGACTAACAGAATATCAAGCCTGGTTACTCTTTACCACAAGTTCTGGTTTTCCAACTTCAATTCTCTGATCCTAGTTGAAGTGAAATTTCTAAAGATCAAATATTCTATCTCTTTTTCCAACTGATAGATTTCTTCTTGAAGGTTAACCTGAAACTATTTACCATAATGTATTTGTCTTTTCAAATACTTGATCCTTTTTTGGAGAGTAATAACAGTTGCCTATAAATGATCCATTCTTCCTGAGCAAGTGAGTCTTTATGCCTTAGCAACTCTAGTTTTTCTAGACATGATGGAAAAAGGAATATGAGAAATACCTAACAAACCAAGAAAAATTATTATATTAAATAGGGAAATATAAATGATTGCATTATTTTAACAATTATATAAGGAGCTTTACTACCTATCAGTTTATATCAAAAAGGATTATTATACTTGTACAAAAATTATCATGACTATTATTCAGAATCTAATTTTGAAGGATCTCTTAGTCACAATTCTTAAATTTGTACAAATGATCCTAATACATTATAACTTACTCCAATCCATTAATAATCAGGTCTTACAAATATACAGATATATACAACATACTATCTATATGAAAAATAGGATTCTCTCTTTAGCCAATGTATACTATCTGGGAAAATTATTGAAAGAAGTTGTTAATTGATTACAACAATCCTATCTAAATAAATACCTGACTAAATATTATCTTACTGGATACCATCACACTTATGGTTTCTTTAAAAGATCTGAAATTGAGCAAATTTAGAGAACAAGATATATAACTTTAATTATAATTATCAAGTTAAAGTTTTGTAAATATCAACTCTTTGTAAATTCTTGATTTGTAGAACTTACTGCTTAAGTAAGAAGGAAATGTTAATCTTAATTATTAGTTATATTTTACTTTGATTATTATTTATAGATCTTATCTATTGTATTATTCTAATTTTATTTTTAGATTATATGACACATATGATGCAAGATGTATTTCATTGGTTTATAAGGTAGATCCAATTATTAGGGCAAAATAGTGATTCATGTAGCATACATTATTTAATTTCTTTATTCTATTATTATATTTTATCTATATTTAGTTAGTAGGTTATCCAAGTAAGCAGATCTGAAATATTGGCCTAATTTACCAAATCTGACAAATTTGGTTACTTTAATTACCTTGATTACTTTGATTACCTTAATTATTTTAATTATCAAATAATTAATATTTAATTATATATATAAAGGCTAGCTATTCAAAGCAATTGATCCAAGGTTTTACCTACTGAATTTTTTTATCTTTGATATTATATATCTCTAATAAATCTTTTAATTAAATCAAATCATTCAAAGCCTTTTTTAACATGTTTGTGTAATCTCTATTATCCTTGAATTACCAACTTTAATATACCATGATCAAGGTATTCTCTTTCAACTTAAAGTGGATTATTACTATAGTTGTTCCATTTATCTATCTTATTTGGAGGTTATTAAATAGGTTGACAATATGATAAAAAAATATCAATTAGGATTAAGAATAGAATATACTCCATAGGTAAAACAGATATTCATGAAACAAATACATCTCAAATAGCTTTTTGAATAATATAAAATATAAAGTTCTCTGATAGATCCCTGAAACATCAAGTAATTTAAGTATAGTAGAACAGTTAATAGAATAGTACCTCTAATAGATAAAAATTTAGTGGTGATTTGAATAGATTAGGATAATATAAATTAGAATCTATAAGAATTATTTTTATAGAACAAACTATATAATTTCCTAAAAATCTAATCAATAAAGCTCAATCAGTATAACTAGTTAAAAAAAAGTTATAAAGGTTCAATATCAATTTAATGAAGAAATAAAATACATATTATTTTTTAAATATGACTTAAAATATCTAATTTAAATTTTGATTTTTTTTTTTTTAATTTAAACTAATTTAAATAAAATTCTTATATTCTTTAAATAATATAATTCTTTAACTAATTATGTAATTAATTATTATGTATAATAATAGATTTCTAAAATATTTTATATATAAAATTTAACAGATCACTATTTCATATATAAAATTTAACAGATTACTTATGTTCTTTTTTAAGAAACAAAATTCAAAGTTCTTTACTTTAGTAAAAATGAAATTCAGAAAATGTTATAAATCAACAATTTAAATAATAAAAAATTATTAATTTAAAATTTTTAATATTTCCTAGTAAGGGATATTTGATTTTTCCCCTTTAGGAACCCATCTTTAATCATGTAATAATCTATATAATATTGTTGATGTTCATTTAAAACATATCATAAAGGTATAATTGCAGATTTAAAAAAATTAATTATTAAAAAATTTAATTTTATGGGTATTTTCTTTGTTATAAAACTAAAATTTTAAATAATTTTGTAAGCTTAAGTCTTAATGTATATACTGTATATATACGAAATTACTTTTTAAAAAATAATTCTATTAATTTTCACAATTAAAAATATTCTTTGTTAATTCATCAAAGCTTCGTTCATCTACGGAAAAACCTCTTATATAATCAACCTCTAAGGAATGAAGCTTCGAACCAACGATTATGAGTGAATGTAGAGGTGGACCAAAATTCTGAGTTGATAATTGAATTAAAGTACCAGCTCTTATTTGTTGGTCAGTCGCAGAACCAAGACGTGCTATACCGATTGCCAAAGTTTCTGGGTTAACAACTGTTTATATTTAAGAATATGTTAGAAATATTTATTTGCAAAAACATGGAAAGTAAGAGATGTCGAAACCTTGCTCCCCACGATTTTCCTCAATGTCGAAAAGTTGTTGAATTGCTTGGTTAATTGTCATGTAGCGTGGTGCCTCGTATATTTTTTTACCTCTTCAATGAGGCATGTCAATACTGAATACAATTATACGCGTGTACGTAAATAAGTACTCTGCTTTTTATTACCTTGCTAAATTTTCGATACTTTGTTCTTTAACCTTTATATCTATAATTAAGAAAGATCAGTTGATACTTGAGTCATTAGGCGCATCTTAGATCGCATAAATATACGCTCTCACCTAACAAACATAAGGTGTGGAAACCTAAATTTTTATTTTCCTTAATACGATCATAAAAGCTATCTGGTTTCCAAGTATCAGTGAAAAAAGGTATAGAAATAGTTTGACCAAAATTATAAAGTTGTAATCCACATGCACCAACAGCGTTTATTATTGAAGCATTATGGATTATTGTCACAGGTATTTTTAGTTCTCTTGCTCGTAGTACCAGATCTGTGTGTGTTGTTGCACTTGATATTTGTTGAAATACGTACGTTAATGTTTTCGAAAACGAAATGTTTAAATGAATTGTTCACACACCCAAAGGGATCTCCCACGACCAAAAAAGCTACGTTTGAAATATCAGCATTTAACAATATCTCATCACTCTGACTTTCTACTTTCTCTCTGTCTGCAAGAATTAATTCTCTACCATAGAAATCCTCCTAATGTCATTGAACAAACGCGGTATTTAATAATTGACTTTATTACAAATAGAACGTTACTTTAAATAATTACCAGTTTTTCCTTAGGAACCATTAATATACTAGTATAGGCCTCTAGATACACTCTTTCACAAGATTTTATTGCTTCCAGGCCTTTAAGAGTAATGTCAGTTTCATCGCATAACCCTAAACCGATTATATAAAGCATCTCCGAAAACGAGATCAATAGTTATCTTTCATGCTTTTATACTAGTCGTCTGTACTACCTAAGAATTTACACATTAAGGACTATAAATGAGAAGTCTATTAAGCTAGTTTGAATTAAACAAAATATAATACAATCTTTACTAGATACTTTAAATCAAGAATTGTAATTTTTATTTTTTCTTTATTATTATTATTTTTTTATATTATTCATAATTAGGTTAAATTATAGTTTATTAAACAATTAAAAACATAAATACATTTTTATTTAAGCAATATTATTCATATTATAACTAAATACTATATTTTAATCAAATTTAACTAACTTGTCATAAGTATAAAGTTTCTTTTTAATCTATACATTAATACCAGCAAGTTATCACTGCTATATATTCTATTAAACTAAAGAAATACTAAAAATAATATCAGGATTGAATCAAAAAAAAAAAAAATAAATAAATAAAAATATTTAAATATAATAATAATAAAAAATAAAAGAAAAAAAAATAAAATTATTCAACTTTCTTTAAAAACCTACTTTTTAAGATTTCTTTTAAGAAATATTTTATTGAAATACAGTTGCTTACAAAAGTTTGAGTCCACTTACTATTTTTTTATTATAAATTTCAACTTTAATAATTTTTAAATTATTAACTATATAGTCAAAATTATAAAATTTATATATATTATGTTTTAATACTTATTCTATTTCTTGTATTTTTTTAAAAAAATTTTTTATTAATACATTCTAAAGTTTTATTATTGTTAAATATCTTTATTTTTTTATTAATTATCATATGATTTATGATAACAGCCAATCAA